GTGTGTGTGTGTGTGTGTGTTTCTGTCTGTGTGTGTGTGTGTGTTTCTGTCTGCATGTGTGTGTGTGTGTGTGTTTCTGTCTGCGTGTGTGTGTGTGTGTGTGTGTGTGTTTGTGTCTGCGTGTGTTTCTGTCTGCGTGTGTGTGTGTTTGTGTGTGCGTGTGTGTGTGTGTGTTTGTGTCTGCGTGCGTGTGTGTGTGTGCGTGCGAGTGTGTGTGTGTGTCTGAGTGAGTGTGTGTGTGCGTGTGTGCGTGAGTGTGACTGAGTGAGTGTGTGCGTGCGCCTGAGCGAGTGTGAGTGTGTGTGCGTGTCTGAGTGAGTGTGTGTGTGCGCCTGAGCGAGTGTGTGTGTGTGTGTGTGTGAGTGCATGTCTGAGTGAGTGTGTGTGTGCGCCTGAGCGAGTGTGTGTGTGTGTGTGTGTGAGTGCATGTCTGAGTGAGTGTGTGTGTGCGCCTGAGCGAGTGTGTGTGTGTGTGTGTGTGAGTGCATGTCTGAGTGAGTGTGTGTGTGCGCCTGAGCGAGTGTGTGTGTGTGTGTGTGTGAGTGCATGTCTGAGTGAGTGTGTGTGTGCGCCTGAGCGAGTGTGTGTGTGTGTGTGTGTGAGTGTGTGTGTGTGTGTGTGTGTGCGTGAGTGTGACTGAGTGAGTGTGTGCGTGCGCCTGAGCGAGTGTGAGTGTGTGTGCGTGTCTGAGTGAGTGTGTGTGTGAGTGCATGTCTGAGTGAGTGTGTGTGTGCGCCTGAGCGAGTGTGTGTGTGTGTGTGTGTGTGAGTACCGGGGTAGTTCTTGATGAAGCTCTTGTACAGGTCTCCCAGCTGGTCTCCAGTGATGTGGCGTTTCGGGTCGTCGGGTGACTTGAAGTCCAGATCATATTTACCATTCTTGAAGAACTCGGACGCAGCGACGTCCATGCCGATGATGATCTTGTCAGGATAGCCGGCCTTCTCGATGGCAGATTTCAGCAGCTCCAGAGCTACAGACCGACAGACGTTCAGTCATCCGCAAACACAGGTTTGATGACGGTCAATTTAAGACTTCAAGAGCTTTTTAAGACCAAGTAAAGAAAACTGAAGGAATAAATTGAATGGAAAACAATATGGCAATACGTTCTCCAAATCTAAAAGTCTAGGGAGCAGAGCTGTATTCGCAACACTTCCAACAGGTCATAATTACTTTAAATTTACAACAACAACAAAAAAACCAACATCTTATGGTTTGAATATCTCTGTATCTTCTGATCACACTGCAGTGGCTGCTGCTCTTCCTCAGTATTTCTCTCTTGTTTTCCAGCACAAACGTCTAAAGATTCATAAATCAAGATACAGTTACTGGAGACGCAAAACGACAGAAGTTAAGAGGTCTTGTATTATGAGAAACTGATTAAAAAAAAGGAAGTAAAATTAAGATTAAAACAAAAACTTCTCTGCCAATAGGCTCAGAAAATAAATTGACAGATGTTTTGTCTTGTTTTATGCATAAACAGATTTCATTTTGTTAAATTTTTCAGAAAGCAACACTTAATATCTTTATTTTGCATCTCCGATGCATCTTGATTTAAGGATGTTTGGATATTTATACTAGAAAACAAGACAGAAATACAGAAGACATTTCAGTTTTTTTATTTGTATAATTTTAATTTTCGTTAAAGTTTTAGTATTTTTTGCATTTTTGTGAACTGAAGTAGTTTTTAATATTATTTTTTAAATATGCCTATATAGTTTTTATTAATTTTTATTTAAGTTTTACTTATTTTACTACATGAACTTGAATGAAATTGTGTAAATGAGAAATACTGCCTTGGCAAAGAGCTGAAATAAAGAGTTTATTATATTTTATTTCAGTTAATATTTATTTTATTTTAAGTAATGAATATTTATTTTTATTTCAGTCTCCGTTTTAGTTTTAGTTAGATTTAATAACCATGTTTTGCAGTGCATGCAACATTTAATGGCATGACTTTATGAATTTAAGACCTTCTGCTTCAGTTTAAGAGATTTTTAAAGCCTTAATGAGGAAGGAAGAATCAGGACTTTATAAGAACCACATTTATGTTTTTATCTCCTATATAAGACTCTTCATTCCAGTTTTTTATTGTGCTATAAATCAAGTGCTGGTACCCTCGTTGTTCTCGAGGATGTTGGGTGCGAACCCGCCCTCGTCTCCCACGTTGGTGGCATCTTTGCCGTATTTGGCCTTGATGACGTTCTTGAGGTTGTGGTAGACCTCGGCGCCGATCCTCATGGCCTCGTGGAAGTTCTTGGCTCCCACGGGCAGGATCATGAACTCCTGCATGGCCAGCTTGTTCCCGGCGTGAGAGCCGCCGTTGATGACGTTGAAGGCCTGCGAGAGAGAGATGAAGGAGAGGGTGAGAGGAGGCGCGGATGTGAGGAGCGCTCAGGAGCGGCAGTGGCGGGCGACACACGTACAGGAACCGGCAGGATCACGTCTTTGTTCCCGGCGAGGTCAGCGATGTGGCGGTACAGAGGAACGCCCTTCTCTGCGGCGCCTGCCTTACACACAGCCAGACTCACACCCAGGATCGCATTAGCGCCGAACTTAGCTGCGCGACAGGAAACATGCAGGTGAGATTCAGAAATACTGATTTTTATTAGGCTACTCTGTAGCCTTTATCAGTGCATTTATGCATCTGACAGACATTTTCATCCAAAGTGACTCACTAGCATTCAATAAACATTTCAGTTCATGCATTCATTGTGAATCGAACCCATGATTTTCGCATTGCAACCACCATGATCCACTGTCTGAGCTACAGAAGTCATAAAGATAAACATGTGTGAGAGAGTGAGTATGTGTGTGTGTGTGAGAGAGAGAGAGAGAGAGTGAGTGTGTGTGTGTGTGAGAGAGAGAGAGAGAGAGAGAGAGTGAGTGTGTGTGAGAGTGTGAGAGTGTGAGTGTGTGTGGGTGTGTGTGAGAGAGAGTGTGTGAGTGAGAGTGAGTATGTGTATGTGTGTGTGTGTGTGTGTGTGTGTGAGAGAGAGAGAGAGTGAGTGAGTATGTGTGAGTGTGAGAGAGTGAGAGTGAGTATGTGAGAGAGAGAGAGAGAGTGAGTATGTGTGAGTGTGAGAGAGTGAGTGAGTATGTGTGTGTGAGTGAGAGTGAGAGTGAGTATGTGTGAGTGAGAGTGAGAGTGAGTATGTGTGAGTGAGAGTGAGAGTGAGTATGTGTGAGTGAGAGTGAGAGTGAGTATGTGTGAGTGAGAGTGAGAGTGAGTATGTGTGAGTGAGAGTGAGAGTGAGTATGTGTGAGTGAGAGTGAGAGTGAGTATGTGTGAGTGAGAGTGAGAGTGAGTATGTGTGAGTGAGAGTGAGAGTGAGTATGTGTGAGTGAGAGTGAGAGTGAGTATGTGTGAGTGAGAGTGAGAGTGAGTATGTGTGAGTGAGAGTGAGAGTGAGTATGTGTGAGTGAGAGTGAGAGTGAGTATGTGTGAGTGAGAGTGAGAGTGAGTATGTGTGAGTGAGAGTGAGAGTGAGTATGTGTGAGTGAGAGTGAGAGTGAGTATGTGTGAGTGAGAGTGAGAGTGAGTATGTGTGAGTGAGAGTGAGAGTGAGTATGTGTGAGTGAGAGTGAGAGTGAGTATGTGTGAGTGAGAGTGAGAGTGAGTATGTGTGAGTGAGAGTGAGAGTGAGTATGTGTGAGTGAGAGTGAGAGTGAGTATGTGTGAGTGAGAGTGAGAGTGAGTATGTGTGAGTGAGAGTGAGAGTGAGTATGTGTGAGTGAGAGTGAGAGTGAGTATGTGTGAGTGTGAGAGAGTGAGAGTGAGTATGTGTGTGTGTGTGTGAGAGAGTGAGTATGTGTGTGGGTGAGAGAGAGAGAGAGTGAGTATGTGTGTGTGAGAGAGAGAGTGAGTGAGTGTGTGTGTGTGTGAGAGAGAGTGAGTGTGTGTGAGAGAGAGAGTGTGTGTGTGTGTGTGTGTGTGAGAGAGCGAGGGAGAGGGTGTGTGTGTGTGAGAGTGCGAGTGTGTGTGTGAGTGTGTGGGTGAGTGGGTGAGTGA